TCATCATTCAACTTTTACTATACAGTTTGAAACAATTTTAGATCAAACATGAAAAAAAAAGAAGACTATCTATCACATGTAAGAAAAATAAATCCCCTGAGTTTGGCAAAAAATGTACCATGTTTTCCATTATAAATGTATCTACATTAGATGATATCCAAACTCTCATGACATTTCACTTGTTTTTCAGCAACAAAATAACCTGCTGTGAAGTGTATGTCATTTATATTAAACTACTTATTCGTGTCTTAAAAAAGAACATTTCCTCACTACAGTTGACAAGAAAAAAGTATATCCTAGGGTAGGATCCAACCTGTAATGCTCTGTACATTACACTTTAAGTTGCAAACTAAGCATGTTTTTCTAAACATAGACCTCACCACCTGCATGGCATGGCTTTGTTGGGAGAGAAAGATGAAAATCAGCCTCTCCCCAAAAAGTAGGCAGTAGTAGTTGCACACAAAATATACTCTATCATTGGCTACTCTACCGTTTGACAGATAATAGCTAAAACCAGTGACATTGAACAGACAGTTAAGGTCGCACTGTAGGTACTATGTACATATGGCATGGCTTTGTTGGGAGAGAAAGATGAAAATCAGCCTCTCCCCAAAAAGTAGGCAGTAGTAGTTGCACACAAAATATACTCTATCATTGGCTACTCTACCGTTTGACAGACAATAGCTAAAACCAGTGACATTGAACAGACAGTTAAGGTCGCACTGTAGGTACTATGTACATATGAGAAAAGTGATAACTATAAGAAAAACTTTGTCAACGTGAAAAAATGCTAAGTTATAAAAAGAGCCAAGCCATAAAAGTGGAGATGAAACAGACACAAACTAATTTAGAAGAAACAATTAAGGCAGCCTTGTACTATTACTTCAATTTTTATTAGTAGTAGTATTAATATCATTATTATTGTAAGGCATGTTACGACATTCAAACTGTAACTCTTACTTTTCATCCACTGGAATCAAACAAACAGAACAACTCAGAAGAAATCTTGGCCCACACTAAGCAAGTAGGCACAATTGTAAAAGCTATGTGGACCAAGGTTGTCTTAACTGTTCCTTCTAACTTCTCTTGTATGTTTGAATGTTTTTGTTACAGAAAATTATACAGTAAGTGTTAAGCCTAATTTGGAGTCTGAACATCATTTTTTTTTCACAATATTTTTTAAAATTCAATAAGACTTTGAGAATACTAAAATAATAAATGAAAATGATAAACAAGGCTACTGGTTTTAAAGTTTTTCAACATTAAATAATCAACAGACACAGAATGAATATTTTGAAAGATGCAAGATATCAGATTTGCTTCTTTCAGAAAACTCATGATCACAGAATTTATTAAAATTAGAGAAAAGAATTAAACTTTCTTGAAAATTTTTAGGCTTCTGACTAAATCTAATCCTACGAAAAGCTTGGTTTCAGCAAGTGAACAAAGCATGCATTATTTAATTAGCAAGAGAAACAATCCCTGACTTACCTATAATGAATTTTTCGTGAACTATCCAAATGCCATCTCTCAATGGCTTGAACCATTCTTCTCAAAACATCCTCTCGTTTAAGTGTGGTAATAGAAGACTCTCTCCAAGCTTCTACACCATCTGAAGCAATATGAGAAAGTATTCCTGCTGCATTGTAACTAACTTCAATACCATCACTGGTACTGTCTAGTAGATTACTAAAAAAAACAAAAAACAGAACATACTTTTAATCTATAAAATAAAGAATGAAATAACCAAGGGTTTAATCCAGACTTTGAGAATGGACCTATAAAATGGTCACTAAGTCTTTGGAGAAACATAATATAATACATAGAATATGGGGGAAAAAAAAAGATATTAAACATACATTTAATAATGCTGATTGGACCTAAAAAAGTGAATGAATTTATTAACACAATGTAATATCTTCAAAACAGTTGATAAACTCAGAAACATTTTACTTGAAATCTCATACATATCAAACCTTAAAAGTACAATTTTAGAACTGCATTATTATATGCACGCACAGGTGTCTATTTTCGTACATGCACGTGCAGGTGCATTTTTTGGTACATGCACCCGCAGGTGCCTATTTTAGAGCTGCATTATTATATGAATAATTCAATTAAGAAAGTATTTCTAAATGTATCTCAGTTGAACATCAAAAGATAGTTAAAGAACAAAAGTCCCGAAAGTAAAAATATTTAAAAATACACTTCAACATTCATAGTCTGTGTAAAAGTTGACAAAATTTTTTTCTTCAACAGAAACATAGAAAAATTGGATATTACTCTCATGCAGTATAAACCTTATGAGTGACTGAACTAACTTAAGAGAATATAATTTCTTAAACATACACTTAAAACAATTGAATGTAAATATTCGAATGCTTATTTTGCCAACTAAAACAGTCGACACCTTCTATAAAACATACAAACAGGCTGACTAATTACATACATTAAAGGCCAGTTTCAGTGATGCAACCTTTTATGATTTATCATGATTTGTCATGAAGATAGAGATTTGTCTTCCAGAAAAGAACACTTATTTGTTTGTTGTTAAGCACAAAACTTCACAAGGAGCTATCATTGCTGTGCCCACCAAGATTATCGAAACCTGGTTCTTAGCAATGTGAACCCTCAGATTTACTGCTGAGCCACTAGGGGGCTCCAGAAAAGAGAAAACAACTCCATTGTCAAGACTACATTTGGTCATCCACTTGCAAGAAAGAAATATTTCTGATAACTTAGGTCAGGTCTTTTTTTTACATTGTATTTAACATAACCTCTTTTTATTTATTTAATTTGAAAATATATTTACTTATTTATATATTTCTTCAGTCTACTTGAACCAACTACAGCCATGCTATGCTTCAAAAAAAGACTCATTAACATGATCAACCAACACTATTGTCAGCCACAGTTTCAGATACTGTTATAGGTCCTTCAATTTCTAGGAGACAGCTACCAGAAAAGAGATAGTAGTTTCCATTGTGTGAAAATTGTTCATAAATGAATTGCAAAGTTTAAAATACAGCACAATGAGAGATGAGCAAGGTATACAGTCAAGATTACTTGGTGCTGCATGTCAATAATACTGCTCTAACAAAATAACACAGTATGTTATTGTTATCAAGAATGTTAAAATGACTCAGTAAAACAGCATATAAAGTCCGTATGATGAGTGCACTTACTGCACACTGCGCAGCAGATGCAACAGAGATAAATTAACCAGGATATATATAGAAAAAAGCTTGAACAAATGGACTTTGACACTTTTATAAAATGGAAGAGGTGTTTAAGACAGCCAACTATGTAACCATCAAAAGGAGGCCATAATTTTACTGACTTCCAAAAACTTTCAGAACTGCAGATAGTCAATGACATCTCAATGAGCAGCAGAATCTACTGCAATTAAAAGCATGTATGACATTCATCTTTAAAGTTTCTGGTACTTTGTATGGTGAATTAAAACAATTTAACTATAAGTTAAAAAATGTTTTCTTTATTCTTCTGATGCTTCACTTATTACAAACTAAAAGCTAAATTTCTGTAAGTTTTTTCTGATAAAGATGCCAGTTGCCGACCTACCAGAACACTTGAATGTATTCTTCTGTCATAAGCCTTGGTCGTAATGACTTGACTTCTGCCACATTTCCCTATAAAAGTATACATAAAAAAACTTTTATAGTAAATATGCTTTATAAAAAATAACATTTAAAATACACATTTTGTTAGCTACTGGTGACATGCAAAGCATCAACATATCACATAAAACAATAAAAAACAAACACCTATTCATTTAAATTAGGCATCATTTTCAGAAACTTAAGAAAATAAACTGCTAAACAAAAGCTTAAAACAAGCACAACCAAGTTCAACAAAGTGCAAGATGCATGCTATCCTATGCTATTTCTTATTTTTAAACATTGGTAAATTTGAGCCAGACAGAGCTGATAGATATGTTTGTATTTGTTAAATTAAAAGATACTCATATTATAGAAAAGAGCACTTTTTCTATTTGGTTTTATTATCATGCATTCTTTAATATAAATACTAGGTTAAGTTTACTAAACTAACAGCAGGTGTATGAAGTAGTATGCAGTGGCTTTATGAATAAAATTTGGTTAAAGGAAAAAAAAACAGGATTTTTTTTTCAGCAAACACTTACTTATTATAAAACAGAAATGCTCTTTATGAAATAAAAAGTGACCAAAACTAATCAGATATTTGTTGATAAGTTATTATCGAAAATTAGCACAACAGAATCAGTAAAAAAAATCTTCTGGAAATTCTAAAATGTAAAAGTTCTGTAAAATTTGCTAAATAATACTTCACTGCAATAACTCCTAAGATATGTTCAATATTTGTATATAGTGATATCATGCCAAAATAAACTATGTGAGAATTTTGGTGAACTTTAAGTGAATATTTTTGAAAAAATTTAAGTAATCTTTTATGCAACTGAAGAATCTGAGAATAAAAGGTTTGAACATGTCAACAAATTAATTTAAATGATGTTTTACCAACTACTACAAATCAACCAATCAAGTACTGCACACTTCATTATTCCAGTCACACACATCCACAGTAATGGTGAGGAGTCTCAACATGTTGATAGCCCTAATGACACTGGCAGTCAATAGGCCTAAAGTCCAAAGAACCAACTGGTAGCACTTCAAAGCGGCTTAATGATCCAAAAGAGTCGATGGTCTAAAAATACTCTCCTAAAAAAATACTGGTTGTGCACATCTACACATTGCCTTGATACTGGTGCACATGAAAAAATTCATTCTGCACAGGGATTGAAAAAATTAGAGGGAACATTGACTTGGTCCCCTTTCTATTGCAACTGGAACAAGCAACAAGAATATAAAGGAAGGCCAAGTTTTTTTCTTGTCTAACGTAACCTCTTTTACATGTTTATATATTACTTGGCTCTTTTTAGCTATCATACCTTTATATGGCTGCCCCATTTATTATAACTCAGCTGTTTTTATGCATGGAAAATGTTTTTGTTTAGATATATTTTTACCGTACATATAGAAACACACAGATATATGCAAAAACATTTTTGAAAAAAGAATTATAATATTACACAAATATTACAAGGCAATATAATGAAAACTCAGCTCTTGTATATATTTTAATGTGTGAATAAAATATTTTACCCAGCAGTATATGTACATACTGGTTTCTTTAAATTTAGATTTTTAAAATAGGAGTTTTATGGGAAAATATGAGATAAATGTATGTAAAATGAAACCTAGAAACCACAAAATAAAATTAAAAACTTATAGCAATCAAAGAAAAATAATGTACTAAAAATATTTACGAGCTTACCAGTAATCCCATCATGTTACCAAGCAGACTTGCCTTGAATGGGAATGTCTGAAAAAATAGCCAAAGTAGGTTAAGTACCATATGTTAATTTATTCGACCTCATAAAATAATACTTAGTAATACATTAAAATAAAATAAAAAACTTTACATGTACAGATCATGTATCCAATATGAAGTCATATTTACATTATTTTGCAATACTGCATTAGGTTTTATATTAAATAACACAGATGAATTTTAAAAATAATTTAAAGAAGAAAGAATTCTTTGCTTGTCATTAAAAACAAAACTATACAATGGATGATCTGTGCTATGCCCACTGCAGGTATCAAAACTTGATATTTTGTGTTATAAGAACTTAGACTTACTGTGGAGCCACCAGAGAGCAGAAGACAAAAAAAAAAATCTGTGAACAATGACCTTCATAATGCATATTTTCAGGATGGTATAAAAATATATACATTTATTTTTAATTCAACTTTAAAATCACTGTTAGGATGTTTCTATTTAAATCTATTTAAAACTGTCTATAGATATATAAAGTGAACAATTTGGACTAGGGATGGACTAGGGTGTCAACCGGGACTGGGTTCCTCCCCCCCCCCAACCAAAAAAAAAAACATACACAAAAATGAGAAACAAAAACAAAACTGACGGTTATTACATTCAACCGGATAATCACCAATAGAACATTCCAGTTTTACTTTCAGCTTTCAAAATTAACTAACAAAAATGTGCACACCAGTTTGCAGAATGCCTGTATTTGTGGAATTTGTTTAAATTGTACTTGATGAACAACAGAATTTTGGTGTTTTCGGGTAAAAGCCTTGACCTTTTGTGTGTCATAATGTTGCCAGCGGTGCTAAAAGCCCATTCGCTGTCTACACTGGTCAGAGGTGCAGTGAGATAATGCCTTGCCATCCTGGCCATTGTGGGAAATCGAGTTTCATTTGACTTCCAAAAGTGAGGCCAGTGAAAGTAAACACAGAAACAGTTATATTGACATGTTTTAGAATCATTATTCCAATTAATGCCTAGCTCCAACTTCTCAAACCCTAACCCCTATTGTTCTCAAAACTCCACCTTCCACAGAAATCCACTTCTCAAGCCATATGCCTGTTATTAACCTCTGTTGTTCTCTGAATCCCCAACTTTCAGTGGTCGGTCAATCTTTGTTGCTCGGATCACAATTTTTTAACCAAACCAATTATTGACTGTAACTTTCAGTACTGTGTAAGTTGCCACAAAGATTAGGACTTAGATGCTATTTTCAATTACCTGGATTTGGCTGTTTTTGACTGACACTCAGCTGGAGCCAAGTATTACCGGGTAGCCCAATAACTGGCTTGGGCCAAATATGTCACCAGGTACCCGTGCATTCCTAATCTGGATCTCAATAAGGTACTTCAGGATGTTTATTGACAAAGTTTACAATGCTTCTAGAATTAACCCTATGTGCATATTGACAGTCTATTGGACCAAGTTCATATTGAATAATTAATGTTTATTATAAATTCTATTTTTCCAAATGCACTTAATTTATCTTCACAAAATTTATTAAGTTTTCAGTAAACACTACACATGTTATACACAAAAAAACAACTTTTTTAATAAAGAATTTTCAATAAAGATTTGTCTCTGAATTTACTTTAGTCAATCTGACCGAGACGTAACTAGTATAGGTGCAAGGTGTTTTCATGTTAAGAATAAAAATATGCTTTTCTTATTCTTAAATTTTTTCATATTTCATTTGCATAACCTCTAAACCTCCTAAATGTATAACAAGCTTTTTTAGGAAAACTATATTTTATCTGTTATTTTTTCTACCCTAATACTATATAGAATTGGTTGATTTTACCAACCTAGTAACCACCACAAAAAATACAAAATAAATCTAAATTACCTTTTATAGAATGACTGCAGATTGTAACAGAAAATTAGTTATTTATCATAAAAAGCCTCAATCTTGTAACACTTAACATCTGTTTTAATTTTATTGCTCTTTGAACCATGTCTAACTACTAAACATGTATAAAGAGAAATTGCCCACCTAGTAAATAGCTCAAATTACAGTAAATAAAATATTGAATTACATAATGCAAATACAGCTTGCATGCATACATCACTGATAAATTTCATTTAATTTTCTTTTAGTTTATGTTTTCTTATCTAACCTAATAAGTTTTTAATTTATAAATTTTAGTTGCTTTTATACTAAAAAATAAAAAAACAACAAGAAATTTAGTACTTACATGTATGTCTTGTACTTTTTATTGCACTTGAAGTCTTGAGAAAAATTAACTAATCTTTGGTAGGTTTATCGTTTTACTTTACTGAATTTTTACTTACTCCAAATATACAATTAAGAACACAAAATAATAAGCACAAAGAATACAATGTCCTATAACTATTATAACTTAACTGGCTTTATAACTAAGCTATAAATGCATTAAATAATTCCCTTACAATGTTTAAGGTATACTCAGCAATAGCGATTTTAAATCTGTAGGCCAAATAATTCAAATGCTGTCATCAAAACAAGCTAGAATTATATGTAGTAAGTTAAAATCTCTTTCTATTGATTATGAATAAAATAACAGCAAACATGAGAGAGAGAGAGAGAGAATTACTGATATTTTTTTAAAGGCAGTATATGTAGGATGATGTGGCATGCGAGTTTGACCTTCTGGTTTGTCTCTGTAATTCAAGATAATCAATTGGAGGCTATAAAATTAGATTATGTCTCAGCAATATCTATACTATAAGAATCTGAAATAAGGATGGGAAGAATGTTTAACTGAGCAAAAAAAAACTCGCATGATACACAGAAGTGAAGACTGAGAACTTATTTAAATATTTCCTTTTGAAACTAAGAAATTAAAACTTATATTAAAATACCTACATTTTGATGTCAAGGTTATTGACATAAATCGATGATAAAGATGTTTAATTAAATTTTGAATGTAACTGTGATGTGACATGCACACTTTGACCTCCACCTCTACACACATGATTAAATGTAAATAACAGTACAATTCCAAATGGATAATTTTATACTAAATTCACAAAATCATACAGAACTTATTTCATTATTAAATATCTCTCTCTCTTATTAGTTTTTGTCATAAAAACATTTCATTTGAAATACTAGTGTTACAAAAATGTGCATTTTAATACAGAAATCATTACAATATACAAAGTAGAAATTACGTGAAACCCAATGTTGTATTTTATGCATCACAAGAAATGTTTATGTAAAACAGTTTAAAATATTACAGGCTGTAAAATTCCTGAAGAAATGTGCTTTCGTAACAAAGATTGCAAAACAAGCTCACTGTCTAATAAAGTACAAATATCAGAAAAAGAAATTTAAGTAGTACCTTACAGAACACCTTGTATTATAATATGAATAATAGTGCTTAAGTTTAGTTTAGCTTCAAATAAAATCAATTATACAAAAGTTAATATCACTCTTAACATATTAAACCTAGAATACTAGATTACACATGGTATTACATACCACAAACTGAACTATAAACCTACAACCAGTGCATCACATCAACACAGTGTTTGTTTAGTACTCATACATACTGGTTATTCTGGTTAATCCACAATATATGTTTGTTGAGATTAACGTGAAACATACAGTAAGTTGTATTGAAGAACATTAATGTTTACAAAAAACATAGTTGCCGAGTGAATGAAAATAAAGTGAAAAATAACATGAAAATTTTGAAACCTTTTTTATACTTTATGTATGATAAGTTTCAACAGAATATTTAAAACTCTAGAGTATTTTTGTCATTCTTTAATCTACTTTATAAAGCAGAAATAATAATTTGCTTTAGAATTTTATGCAAAGCTGCACAACAACTATCTACATATAGCCATCCCTTACTCTGGATTGATAAATTAGAGATAAGGCAGCTACTTAACAGCTCATCAATTCTCATTTGATTGCCACTCTCACAGCTCCAAAGTACAGAGCATGTTGTTTTAGCAATAGGTTGCAAACCATGAAACTGAGGACTCATGGTCCACACACACAATAACCACTAGACAAACCTAAGCCAGCATAAAAATTAACTGGTTGACAAGATACAAAACAATAACACAACCAGCTATGGAATGTTACATGTGAAGGTTTAGTTTACACCTAGATATTCAAAATTTTCTGCATAAAAATAACAATTTCCTTGGGATTATCAATAATACCAGTAACATTTTATACACTCTACTGTTTTCTAGTTTTGTAAAATGAATGCTTCATAAATTAGAGCTGGTTAAATGGCACTCTTAATTACTACCACATGTGTATGTTGGTGAATAATCTACCAAGAATCTTTATAATATGTTTACTGACGTAAATACAACTGTGTAAGAAAAACTGATAGAATACAACTAATTATTGTGTTTCAAATACAGTGCTTTCTATTATTCAGAATTATTATTATTACATCAAATATGTTTGTATATTACATTTAGTTGCTTACATAGATTGACTTTAATGAGTATTAAGGTTTAAACTTCACCATAATCAATTATCAAAACAATCCAAAAAAAAAAGATGCTAAAAGTTTATACCTCTTATACACTTTGAAAATGATGGTAAGGCACAAAAATTATAGGCAAACACACAAACCGTACATAGGTACACCAAAACTGTTGACATCCATATTATTGTATTTCCTTGCTTCTCACGTCATTATTCATAAAAAAATTATTTTGAGATGGTAAATGAGAAAACTTATTCAAATAATTAAAAAAAAGATAAACATGAATATCATGAATTTCCCAAACTTACTTAATATACTTTGTATTGTATAAAATTTTAAAATCCTAAATACAGTGGGCATAATTTTCAAAATATAGCAAAGTATTCATGCCATAAGATGCTGAATTAAGTCCTAAAAACATTCTAATAGTTACCAATAATACATAACATTAAATGTTTTGCATAAATAGTGTGATCCCCAATGTTTGATTAACTTGGTAAACTAATTAAGCATATTTTTTTACCTCAAAACAACATCTGCATAATTATTCAGAGCTTTTTAACAAGAAACTTTTTACTTTCTTGGATTCTCTAAAGTTTATTAAAGATTCAACTGCATGTATGTAATTAATGACTCTTGGCTGATGAAACAATATGTATAATTGTCAGTATAATTTATGGTTTCATTAGCTTTGTATTTGAAAATACAATTCACTGTATTCCATTGTAATTCACTTCCATATATCTTTTTTGGTGAAATTTCCTTGTCTATAATTTCTCTAATTTTTTTAAGTTTGTGGTACTTGTTCTTATTTTCTTTCTGTTATTGTTCATCTCACTAAGTTTTGACTTACATTGCTGAAGCAAAATGTTTTATACCTTCATATACTAACATTCAACTGAAAATTTTTTAAATCAATTACTTAGATGATGAAATATTTTGTAATATTTCATTAAATATCTTTTATTGTTTTGCATCTAGTATACACTTAATATACTATGTCTAATGAAGAACTCAAAAATGTACTTGGCATAATTCAAACAATGGTGTAATCTTAACTAAAAAGTCCACACTGTTTTCTTCTCAAAATAATACAAAACTTTAAATACAAGTATAAGTCACAATGAAACAAAAATAACTTTTTACAAATGTTAAAATTACCTTTAAACATTTTAAAACCAGCTTCATTCCTCTACCATCCAAAAACCGTTTACAGTTAGCAGGTGTCTCATCTGAAAATTACAAAAGCACATCAAATCATCAAGTCAATTTCACATTTTAAAAATAAATAAAAATGTCATTTAAAACATACATTTTAAGTAAAAACTACAAACTTTTAACAATTTTGATAATACTGTGCATCAAGATATATTTTTAGCATTAAAGTAATGTGTAGTAAGAAGAAACAATATAACACTTTATGTTAAAAACATTTTTTATACTAAGTCTTTAATGTTACTTACATGCAAAAAAGAAATATACCAAGGAATGTATTACAAAAGATTCTTAATTATACACAAACAACAAAAAATAACTTCAACTTTGCTATGAATGCAGCAGCTCCCTAAACTTTGATTTCTAGATTCTTAAGGAAAATCACCAAACACTCTTTTACACCAAATGATACTCATTTCTTTACAAAATGTTTTACTTTGTTTTACAATGAAGACATAGAAGTCCAAAATTCTGAGTATTTTGGAGTTCAAAGCTGCTAAACCTGACCTTAAAGTTAACATTTTCCTTACCTGAAAATGTATTGCCAATAGAAACTCACCTCCACATACAGTTTAGCTTTCTTCCTCAGATGTTCACGTATTCTACCAAAAGCCTTGTCAAAACTCCCACCTAATTTAACATGATTTCAAGTGAATTTGCACCACTGCATGATTACATAATCATGCTGTAGAAGCCCTCCATCAATAGAAGTGCAACACACTTCCATGTGCAATAACTCCCCTTACTCTTTCTCACTCTTGAATCCTCATTCCTTGACAAGACAATTAAGCAATTTACATCACAAGTGGGGAAAATGGATGAGAAGGTTTGTGGAGGTTTCTATCAGAAATAAATTTTCATGTAAGGAAAATGTTAATTTCCAAGATGATAACTCACCTTAGCAAACAGTTTAGCTAGAATCCCACATTGAGATGGTGGAGGGACTGGTGCAAAATGTACCTAGATGAGCTCCCTTCAGAAATTGTCGGAAGGAAGCCCATTGGGTGTGACCCCCTATTGCAGGGTCTCCATAGGAGCACACCTATGGGAAACCACATCTCATCTCATCCAGGGTATACTCTTTCCCATATTGTAAAGGGAAAAGGCAAAGAAGCCGGACCTGTGTTGCAGGGATGGACAAAATTGGTATATGGCTATCTGACTTCTTGCACATAAGTTGGGGATTCTTGGAGAAAGAGCCTGGATCCCCATCAAGGAAGAAAGGAATAGTCTGGATAGAGGAGAAGATAGATGTGATGGAAGGGAGTATGAGAGGAATCAATGGCATAGACTTCTGAATAATGGCAACCACAGATGAGAATGAGAATAAAAAAAAAAGTCTTGAGAAAAAGGTGATATGTGAAACAAGATGCCAGCTGTTTGAAAGGGACTTAGGTAACCACTTGTAGGACCACACTGACATCCAAGTCAAGCATGGAGACTAGGAGGGGGTCCTGTGGACAAGGAAGGGAGGAATGAAAGCGGGTGGTAAGGAGAGGAAAATAACTTGCATTACTGGGAGAAGTGAAAGGTGGTAGATAACATTACCCAATAACCAGTGATGGAGGAGACGGACAAGCCACATTTGAACAGCCAGTTAAAGGAGGTTGCAAGATGTTACAAAGTGGGTCAGTGAGAAGGGAAGTGGTGATGTATAGAACAATGGCAATAAGCTGCTACTTACATTAGTATTAGGATAAAGCAGAAGGGTGACAAGAGTGAGACAGTATGAGGCTACATGATGAGATAGCTTGGCTTCATAAGCAATGGACTAGACAAATCCTATATGTGAAGATGGAGGGATGTCACTCCGTGATGAAACAGTGATGTGTGGGTTGGAGAGGAAGAGATAGGATGTTGGGAAGATGAAGAGGTGAGTTGGTTAAAAGTTGAAGGAGAAGAAGAAACTGAGATTGGGATAGCCAGTGAGGAGCCACTTACAGGACCCTGCAAGGAAAGGATGATAAGAAAAGAGGGAGCTTGGCATTAAATGGAATGGCAAAGGCATAGATCTGGGGAGTTCCAAGTTTGGAGCAGATCCTACAGAATGCTTGAGAATGTAGAGCCCATTCTGTGGGCAATATGCAGTCCTGTCAAAAAAGTCAGTTGAAACACGGCTCAGTGCTCTCAGAAAGTGACAAGCTATCAAACATAGCCAATTGGAATGGGTACAAAAAAGAAGGTCCAAAGCAAAAGAATTCTTAAAGCAAAGGGTCCTGAAGTGAGAACACCCTTGGTGCTTGATGTATGACACAACCAATGAATTGTCTGAATGGATTATTACTATTATTATCTATAAGAAGTGGTAGGAAATGAAATGCACGTCTGATGGACAGCAAGAAATAAAAGTGCTGATGTGTAAAGAATGATGTTCCAAGGACCAAGTGCCTGAAGTCAAATTGTGATTCACAGACACTCTCCAACCTGAGAGGGAAGCATTGGTGAAAATGTGGTGGTCCACTCTGGGAAGTATGGAACACCAGAGGTAGTGCTGATGTGGTCAAGCCACCAAGTTAGTTCCTCGAGTAGTGGAGGAGGGAGGTGGATGAGTAAGGGCAAAAGATCCCTGGAAAGGTTCCATTGGTTGTGCAATGTCCACTAAAGGAAATGCATATATGCATGACCAAGAGACATGGGTGTTTCCAGAGATGCCATGGTTCCCAAAAGAGAAAAACTCTTGTACAGAATGTGTAGAAGAAGCAAAAATGTTGGTGACCAGATGCTCAAGATCCTACAGATGAATGGAACAGGGTTGAGCATGGTTGAGACAAGAGTTGAAAAGAATTTCAAGGTGAATAAGATACTGAGTAAGCATGAGGAAGGATTTGGATATCTTAACAAGCTACCCCAGTCGAGCAGCCTCATGAAGAAGGACTCCACCTGGAAATGAACAAAAATGGAACTGCAGACCCTGATTGTGAAGATGTTGAGTGAAGGCCTCATAATATGGTTGAAAACATCTGGGGCTGATGCTATGCCAAACAGAAGAGCAAGGAACTGGAATATGGGATCCCAGTGAATAAAACAGAGAAAACTTCTGGAGAACGGGGCAATCAGAATGTGTAGAAAGGCATCTGAAACATTGACCTTGGTCATCTGCAGGCTTGTGGAAAATGACCAACAAAGAGAGAAAAAAATTCTTCATCCAAAAGTGCAGATGACCAAAGAATGATTGAGGGTGAAGAGGTCTATGACTGGACACCAGTCCCTGGTTTTCTTGGGAAATATGAATAAATGGGAGCAAAAACCAGAAAAGAAGTAATGTACCCTCTCTATGGCATGTTTCTCCAATAACTCCACTGCCATTCCCTTGAGATGTTGAAAATAAACAGGATCTGAGGAGAGCACAAGGAGCATGCTGTAACTGAAGAGATGGGGGAAGAGAAGTCTAGAAACTTCCTGTGGGTGAGAGCCTGAAGAACCCATCTGTAAGCCAATGAATGTTCTCATAGAACTGCAGAGTGTGATGAACCAGCCCTCATGGGTTCCAAACCTACAGTTAGGTCACCACGACTATGTTGGTGAGTTTGACATTAAATGGAAGTAGGATGGGTAGAGGTGGGAGGCCTGGAGACCAGAATGAAAAGATGAATGGTAGAAGGTCCAGAGCAAGGAACAGATGTGACAGAGTGGGGTTGGGACAAACAGGAAACCAAAGAGATTATGGAGGATTGGTGGTGGGCTGCTTTAGCCTTTGATTCCAAGGAATCAAGAACTCCACCAAAACACTTCGATGGAAGAGAAATGGGGCAAGGCAAAGGTCGCAGAGAAAGGTGAATTGGAGTTCTACTTGGGAGAAGAGGGTATCCCAACTCAACAGATGACCCAAGTGAAAAGAAAAAGGGCAGAGGAGGTGGAATAGAGATGGATAGAGATTTCCCAGAAAAGTTTTCTGGAGATCAATGAAGAACTTCAGTCATAAAGTGAACAGTGGAAAGGTATTGAAGAAGGGTAGTGAGAAATGTCAGTTAGATGAGGGAAGTGAGGCATAAGAGAGAAAGGAATCAGCATGTACTACAATATCAGAAGAGGGGGGAAATACAAAAAAAAATGTCACGAGGAATAGAGTTGTGTAGGAGCGAATAGGAAGAATAATAAAATACTAGGTTAAGTGGAAGAGCAGTAGAAACCTGTGAAATAAGTTCCTGAAAGTTAGTGCATGCCTAAGAATTTTCTTCAATGGGCATTTATTCCCAAGGCAAAACTTAGAGGTGGAAAATAGCTTTAAAATTCCTTCTCTTCATTGTCAGGTTCAAAGTTAAGGAAGGGAAGTTAGTAGAGGGTATGGAAGCAGAGGGTCCAGGCTATATAATGGACCCCAACTCACATTGTACTATGGTCATCATGTCTTCCACAGTTAAAGAACTTCAGGTGGCTACTGTTGTAGTATTTTCTGTGGGAGGATATTCTTCACTCACACTAGAAGTAGGAGAATTCACATTGAATTGTGAATTCATACTGAGTACAAGTGAACTCAAGTTGAAGCAATATTGCAAATCTCAGCAAATTTGAACACATCAGTACACAAAATCACTGAGGAAAAGAATGAGAATTCAAGGTCATGAAAGAGTAAATGGGATTATTGTGCATGGAGGTATGTTGCACTCCTACTGGTGGAAAGCTTCTTCTGCATGGTGACATCATCATGCAGTCAAATTCACATGAAATTAGGAAGGAGCTTTCGCAAGGCTACTGGCAAACAAATCTCTTTGGGAGAATACATGGAAAGATGAGTATAATAGCTACACTGTGTGAGGGTGAGTCATCATCTTAGAACCCTGATTTGTAAAACAAAATTAATTATCAATCTCTTTCAATTTTTTTATATTGGATTTAATATCACATATGCCAACGAATAAAAACCATAATTAAATTTTACCTTCCTAAAAAAACAGTTGCTTATTTAGGATAATGGTTTTCTGCAAAACATAATCATTAAATTTCATTAATCACAATCTGAGATTTTAGGAAAAAGCTTATGTATGAGTAAACCCCCCCCAAAAAAAAACACCTTTTTTTTTCAGAAAATTATGCGATATAGCATTATATTATACATAAAACCTATAGAGCCAATAACTTTGCCCAAAATGAGCTCATAAGGTATTAGTGATTATAACCAGAATTATAACAAATATGCTTTGATGTAATTTAAAACTAAAACTAAATAAAGATGATTATCCCTCATCTAAAACACGAAATTAAAAGCATCAAGAATGTCAAATGAAATAAAAATTATGCAAACTAAGTGTGATTCATATTTATTAGCTCAGTTTAGGTTTTAATTTAAAAAAAATAAATTTTACACTTAATAAGCTTCATGTTTAAAGATTTTTATTTAAAATTACAAGTAATTTTTACTAGTAAAAAAGTAGATTTGTTTGTAGAATAAAAAATTGATGCCTGTGTTTTCCTTTATCTTTACTTTCTTGCACTTTCTGTGTTTCTCATAGTCTGTTCATTTGTTATTTTCAGAGATGTGTGCATAACAAACTGCAACTGATACCACTGGCTAAGACATATAGGGTTGTTTTACTATTTCATATGAATGAATAGTTTCAAATAAACATTCATTTTAACCCACAATTCAGCATGAGACCTTAAAATAAGGCTAATTTAAGATCTATCAACATTATAACTATTTTTTTTGTGGTAACAATTCAAAGGTCTTTTTGCACATAACTCCTACATGCTGATGACTAGATACTATGAGTTGAAACATTGCAATTATTAAAGTCAGATGTTGCCTACTGTAAAAGTTCCTCACTAATCATCGATGCTCTTGTTAGTTATTTGTGTTGTGGTGTGTGTAAAGTAATGTGCTGAGAATTATGATTTAATTTGCTATGAAACTTTTGTCTATGCAGTTTACTTTGAATAGATTCAAAACTGGACAGCTTACCTGTTAAATTCCACATGGTGCTCCAAGCTGTTTCCATAACCTCGTCACAAACCATTCTATTCAAATGGTTCTCAATCAACTGAAGCATTACCTTAAAAAGAAGACAGTTACAGTTCATTATTTTCATTGCATAAAACACCATTCAGGTTTTAATGATACTTCAAATGTATTCTAATTTTAAAATATTATATTGTATGAATCACCTGACATTTATCACAACTTTTGAACACCTCAAAAGTCATAAGAATTTAAGTACAGCCAAGATTTGTCAGAAAACTGGTATGTACGTGTAAAGGTCACACTGAATATGTGTAAATGGAAAACTTGCATATCCTCCAGTTCTAACTTAAAGAATCTATGGCAATTGTGTATACTGTCCAGTTTATTTGGCAGAATTTCTGTCAATAGGTGGTGGGTCAGTGAGTTGAAGTGTCAAATTATGGTTATCATGAAATAATAGAGATGTTGGAACATTTAACAAAAGTTGTATCTTGACTTTACAATAAAACAGTGTAGAAATGCATGATTGTAACATTGATACAACAAATTATAAAATAAGTAAATATCTATACATTAAAATCCACATTAGTTAACAAAACGTCTAATAAGTAAAATCTAGTGTGTTTTTTTTTGTCAATTTAGTCATTTTTTTTCTACAGAAATTGTTGTGCTTCAGTAAGGTAGGCTACTCTTTGTTAAAACAAAGCAACCTACTATATATATATACACGCACACGCACATACATATATATGACACTTGGGAATACATCAATGTTTAATCAAGGCAAACTATTATGAAACTTGGACTGACAGAAAATGTTCAATCTCTTGTACTTATAATTTTTATAAGAACAACTTCTTTTACAGAAATACCTTTGGTGTCGTTGGCCACCTGATTAAAACCATTCTTTTGTACTTGCACTCACATTTACCTCTAAATTCGACTCCATGATGTTAGGAACAGAGAAGAGCTTATGTACATCTTGAGCTTAAGCATGTACATGTAAGTGATGAAAGAGTAATGCACATTTACTGCCTTATCATGTAGGCATGCTGAATAATGTGCACCTTGACTGGACATTGTGAAGATTTTACTGTTTTATTTATTAAACGTTTTCCTGTTTACTAATTGAAATTTGTATGTTCTTCATTGTTTCATTATAAAGTCAACAAAATCTATTGTTAAATGTTAAAAAATGCACGTCTTTATTATTTCATGATGACAACCTTAATGTGACACCTCAACTCACAGAAATTATATATATATATATTAACCAGACATTATGCAAAATTGATTCATAGACTCTTAAAGTATGCACATTATCCAATGATATCTAATGATAGTGCTTTCATCATAATATAAACATCAACTTGTATATAATTATTGTAACCAAATATATATATATATATATATACAGAGATATCTCAAAAGTAAATAGACACCATGAGTTTTTCAATAGTCATTTATCTCGCATTATCAACTTAACAACAATGTTTACAAATATGCATCAGTACTTAGTCGATTTGCCACTAGCATTTTTCAGTGCTTTGACTCGTTCTGGCATGGAATCGATGAGTTCTGCAATTTTCTCCTGTAGGATCTTGATTCAGGCTTCACGCAAAACATCAAGTAGTTCTCCACGGGATGCTGGTTTTCTGGAAATTCTTCTCACTGCTCAAGCAAGTATGGCCCAGACATGCTCGATGAGGTTCATATCAGGTGACTGACTTGGCCATGGGAGCCGTTGGATACCTTTCTTAATTAAATGACTATTGAATAAACATCGTGGTGTCTATTTACTTTTGAGATGACTCTGTATGTGTATCAGTACATGTAACAGTAGAGCAGGCAGCAGTGATTTAGTCCAATCTTTGTTATTATATTTGTGCTGAAACACAGTAGTAAAAATAATTATGGAAACACAAATACAGGAGTCACAAACAATGAGTAACAACAACTACATGGCAAATTTACTAAAGGTACAAAACATTGCTGCAGAAAACATGAAAGAAAAGTGAGTAAGTTATACAATACACTAGAATTTTGTATGTGAGCTCTTTGCTTTACACAGAGTATTACATCTTGTTTTCATGCTGTCACACTGTTTATCAATGTATGATTGTGAAATATTCTTCCAAGTGTGTCCTGTATAACACCTAACAATTCAGCCATGCCTTTTGATTGCCTTTCAACCTTTTCAGATTGTATACAAGTTTATACAGCCTCAAAAATGTTAATATCAGGACTCCAAGCCATGGTTGTGTGTGTGTTCCATTTTCTTATTTATCAACAAGATATTGTTTCACTACGTTTGTTGTATGCTTGGGATCACTGTCTCGCTGAAAGATAAATTTCCACCTAATAAATCCTTTTCCTGATAGATCAGAATATGCCTGTACCAGTCAGCGAACAGGATGTGATGCACCCCCAAATCTGTACCGATTACCCCACTATATTTTAGTGTTTTATACATTCACTATGACAGAGTTCTCCTCTGCACTATGGAACAAACTGTCATTGATTGTTGATGAACAATTCTGCCAAATTAATATATTTTCACAGATATGTATTAGATAATTATGACAATATCATGACTACAATAAATCTTGGAACAATGTATTTGGTTAAAAATACAATTTTACTTTCAAACTTAGAGATTTTTTTGGTATATTTTGAGCAAAATAAAGGTATTTATAGATTTTATGTTTTGCTGGGTGGCCTGAGTATATGTATTTTAAAATGCATAAATATATGTCAGAGTAGATAAGCATATTTTAACAAAGTAATCTTAGTGGAATTTCTTAGTTAATCATCTGGCTCTCGCTACGGGTCTTCCTATAGTCAGGGGTCAAAGGGCATGTCATCAAATTGGTAGACTTACTTTCAAAATGTTATTGATCTACTATTTTATGAATGTATGCCAGTAAGTTTGGTGTCACACTGTACATTATAATTCAAATTTCAGCATTATACATTAGTCAATTTCTTAATTTAAAAATAAATATTAAAACAAAATTCCTAAATATCAATTTTTATGTGTCACATTGTATGTTGAATACAGCTTTGGTTCAAATTATATGTTTGTGATGTCCAAATACAAAGTCTATAGTTTCTTACAAATTAGAAACTCAAATTACCAGTATTGACAAGCTAGAATATAAAATAAGAACCTCCTATCTTATCTATTTGCTGAGATATTGCTATATTTAGTGAATCAAACACAGTGGCCCCACCCACCTCTTTCCATTTTTGGAAATGCTTGCTTATGTACACCTACTTCTGTCTATGACTTGTGAATAACCAATTGAAAGCTCAGAATGCCCCTCTGGTGATTTTCTCAGTCTCTAGAAGGTGGGAGGTTCCCAAGATTATTTCTTTGTCTTGAATCGTAGAAGGAATTTGGTTATTTCAAAACGCATATATAAAACCTGAAAAAATTTTGTTTTACATCCTCCACATGTAGGCAAATGAGTACAAAGTTTGTAAGTAGAAAAAAATCATTGTTTTCTAAATTTCTTTATTTACTGTTCTATGTTTATGAAAAATAATTGAAATTTACAAACGTATTTGTAAATAGTAATAATATATATATGCATATGTAATACATTATAACCAGAATGTCACTGTATTTTACAAAATACTGGTTCACTAGAACAAAGCCAAGACAGGTCACTTTGTAAAGGCCAGGCTTATATTACTGGATATGGT